AGCCTTCGCAACAAGTATGTGCAGCAGTCGCAGCAGAGAGAGAGAGAGTGAGTGTGTGTGTGTGTGTGTGTGTGTGTGTGCAGTGAGGCAGGGGTGCCATTTAAAACCTAACAGGCTACAATCTGAGTTTAATCTAGCCAGTGGTCCTGAATATAACTATGGGTAGTCCCGGTGGCTCACCTCCAGTTCGTTTATAGCTCATAAGACTCCCTCTTTGACTACAGCATCTGTGTTCACTCCTGGTGTTCTGTATCACACTTACGAGCTAATTTAATGTGTCCAAACTGACCACTTATGCTTCGGTATAGTCATTTGAGTCTACTGTGAGAAGTTGTGATCTCTGCAAGACTAAAATAAAACATAAGCGCGCTCATTTGTGCTCACTTTTAACAGCTGGTGAACAGGATTGCAGTTTTTTTTTATTTACATACTGGATACACAAAGCTGAAAAACAGAAAGGGGAAGTTGGAGGTAAAACGTGAGGAAGAGACCATGTGTCTGCTCTACACAGACAGACGAGATGGTATCTCCTATCTCTCAGTGACGGCCTTCTGAGCTAGACAGGCCTTCATTGTGGTCAGGTCACATGGATCTTAAGCGATTAGTTCATAGACAGATAATTAATCCGCAACTACTTTCATAATCGGTTAATTGTTCAATGTTGCTGCTTTTCTTTGCCATATTCAATAGTACACTTAATATCTTTGGGTTTGGGACTGTTGGTTAGCTGAACTAGACATTTGACTCCCCACACACTCGCTACACATGTACATGTACATACACGTACGTACATACATTCACACACATCGTCCCTCATTTTTTTTCAAGTTGCACCTTCCTACGATGCACCTGTGACACATTCAGGTGTGCAGAGATTTTTTTTTAACCTATAAACTAGACGTGTAAAACTGTCACCTTGGGCTCTAGGAAATTATAAATGGCATTTTTCAGTGTTTTATGACATTTTGTAGACCAATTGATTAATAGTTATTAAAAAAAGTGTTTGTCTGAGATGAATCCACGAGCATAATGGTTTGTTGCAAGGGCATATGAATGTGGCAGAGGTGATTAGATTCCATTGCTCCCATTTTGGGTTGATTTTACACTTGTATTTAGAGGTATCCCCCCCCCAAGACATCATTTAGAAGAAGAGCTGTACTCGTGTATTGTACTTCACTTGCAAATGGAGTAGTGTGACACCTCAGTGCAAGAAAAGGCTCATGTTCATGTTGACTGTTACACTATCCTCTTTGGCATTGAAGAATGAATGAAATGATCTCTTGAAAGAAGAGACAATAAGAAATACTGCATGTACTTACTGTATGATATAAAGTGGGGACTGAGATTTCACAATATTCTGGGGAAGTCTGGCTCCTGAATCAGTTTACACTGAGCATGTGAGTCACAAAGGCGAAAGGCACGCGTATTAGTGATACTACAAATATTTATTTTATAGTACCAGAATCACCGGTTGTTACTGATATAGCCTCTATGTAGTCGGAATGCAACAAACATCATTATTCATTAATCTGCTGATAATTTACTCGATTAATCCTGAAGAAATGCCCCCCACTCTAGTTTGTACCCTGCTAGGTGATTCTGTTGTGCGCAGCCCCACCTGTTCATGTGAAACTAGGTTGACTCATTGGGTCCACTTGTCAAACCGGTGACCCAACTACCTCCTTAACTTATGCATGTGTGTATCTGTTTTTCCATCCTGTGTGTTTTCAGGCTGAGGGAGCTTTGTGTGAAGCTGATGTTTCTCCATCCCGTCGACTACGGCCGTAAGGCTGAGGAGCTGCTCTGGAGGAAGGTTTACTATGAGGTCATCCAGGTTATCAAGACCAACAAGAAGGTAACTGACCCTGCAGCTGTGGGGTAAAAAGAAAACCTGTTTGCATGCCCGTTTTTTTCTGTTCTTAGCTGGCTTGACATCCCGGCTGCCTCTTAAAGGTCTACTCTAGTGTGACATCTGCCATTTTGTGGTCACTGGCATGTAAAACGTCTCATGGAGTACAAAGAGCGTGTGCGTGTTTTGCATGGGTGGTCCCAGTGGTAATGAAACTCTGAACTCTATCAAACATAGCAGGAACATTTCCACGCTGTCACAGTTCACAGTTTCAGCCACATGAATAAAATAATACACACAAAGTACTGTGATTCAGATGCATGTGAACTTAAATCCTAAAAATGTTGAATGTCATCAGCAGTTGAGCTTTAACCATTTGTTGCACATTTGTTTGTTTTAAAGTCTCTTCATGAATGGGAACTCCACCGATTTTACACATCAAAGTCTTGTTTACAGGTTTTGGGAGTAGTACTACGTATCTGAGAGCTGGGGGAAATCTGATAAATTGCCTCAAGTCATGTCATGTCAGCAACGGTCTGACGGTGGTGTAGAGTTAGAAACAAGTGAGCTTACCAGACCTCTGTAGCCTTCTCCTCAGCTCTGCTTGAGCCTCGCAGCTCAAGGCTATGTTAGCTCCAAGTGTAACTGGCTCAAATCTCAAAACAAACTGTAATCATTAGAGTTGCATTATGGGTATTGTAGGTATCATGTTTCAACAAGGAAGCCAAATCATATTAGTATCATATAGTATTAAAAAAGACAGTATTTCTGCTTCTGTTAAATCAATGTCATTATTTTTTTAAACTGTGCATTGGGAGTATTCTTGTAAAGTTCAACTTCTTATAATATTTTTATAGTTTGCCAGTTTTATTCTTGCTTTTTTCTTGGGTTTTATTTCTTAACCACATTTTCTTTTCTGCATTACCAATAATAATGTTTCCCAGTTGCTTGTCATTTTTATTCCTGTACATGTGTACTGTGTTTTTTTGCCTTTTTTGATGCTCATTATAAACATATGTGTGTTACGTAGTTTATTATAGTTGTCCTGGTCATATCTCTAATCTCTTGGCTTTTCTTTTTTCTTTCTCTTTCCTCCACTGTAGCACATCCACAGTCGCAGCGCTCTGGAGTGTGCCTACCGTACACACCTGATCGCCGGCGTGGGTTTCTACCAGCACCTTCTGCTCTACATCCAGTCACATTACCAGCTGGAGCTGCAGGACTGCATCGACTGGACCCACGTCACAGACCCACTAATCGGTCAGATGCGCAAATTCACACACAGATACAGATATAGAACATTTACGCACACAAGCAGCATCTAATCTCTTACTAAATGTTTTGTCAGAATGATAAACAGGCTGTCCATATTTTAAAAATCTTCGCTTACAGGCCTTTTTCTTTGTCACACTGGTAAAAGCACACGTTTAAACGATAAAATTTAATGATGGCAAAATTCTTTTTAGCTGAGCTGGTTTCAGGATCCTGGTGCATGTTTGTTTACTTTAATGGCTCACAGGAACACTAGAAGAGAATGGATGCATTGTTAACCTAGCCTTTTTCTACTATAACAAATGTTTGCGGTGATAACGGCCTATGACAATATGGTTTGTTTTTAATGCACTGTAGTCAAATGAAAAATGTACCTAAATCCGCTGACCAATAGCTTTTTCTCTTACCATCTTTGCGCCATTCAGATTGTCTTTTCCTGTGGGATGGGTGGAAATCCCATTCAACATGCTATTATGAGTGTTTTCAGAACTTCTGGATTTAGTATTTAATTACTCTGGTGTTTTATCCAATGGAAAGTTTGACCTCATTTACAGTATGTATTGTACGGTCACTTTCCGGATAATGAATAGTGTAATCACACCATTGCATTTACACCAGTTTTTTTTAGTCCGTATCAGTTGTCAGTGTTCCCTTGCACTTTGCAAAGCAGACAAATAGGTGGAGAAGTGCCAAGTCAGTCTATTGTCTGCAAAGACAAACAGACAGGTGCAGGGTCACGCAAGCTTGTGGTACTGTGCATCCTGTAGTCGTGCTTTGCCTCTGATAGGCTAGACTTCCACTCTGTGGTTCGAGACATAACAATATGCAATGCACAGACTTTATGTAAATAAAAACCAGGGGTAAATCGGGTCTGTAATCCCGTCTTCCAGAGTTCCTTGAAACCGTGTTTATAGTAATATCTGGGTGCTGTCTCTAACATTTGTTGCTTTGCTGGAATTTGAGCTTGTTCGTTTGTTACATAACTCCAAGTCGTTTTGGTAAGTGACTCAGCTAAGTGCTTGAAAAAAAAAAAACGCATTGTGTGATTGTTCCCTGCAGGCCGAAAGAAACCAGTGTCAGCCACCCCCAAGGAGATGGAGTGGGCACAGATGGCCTGCCATCGCTGTCTGGTCTACCTTGGAGATCTAGGTAATAACTTGATAATAGAACATGCAGTTAATTCATCTCTCTACCCAGCTTGTAGAGGTGTGAGACAGCATGTGTGTGTCATTCAGCGTGGGAAGTTTTGGCTTAGCTCTAGAGTATAATTGGCAGGAGGCTGTCTGGTTGGTTTAGACTTATGTGACACCGAGATATTAGTATTTGATTGGTTTTACATTAAATATTACAGAAGCAAATGAAATTATGCCTGCACCATTTTAGGTTTGCCTTTGATAGATAAAAGAAAACTGAGCTGAATTAGTGTTCAATCAACATTTCACATTTTGAAAGTGTTTATCTTAACATTTATTATAACTTTTTTCTTTTCTTTTTTTTTTAAATCTTTGTTTCCTCTGCAGCCCGTTATCAGAATGAACTTGCTGGAGTGGAGGCTGAGCAGCTGGCTGAAAGGTTTTACCATCAAGCCCTGTCTGTCATGCCACACGTAGGTGAGTGACTGCATTGTGAGATTTCTTAATGCAACACTTAGCTGTTCCCATGGTCAGGGAGAACCTGGTCAACTTTGTGTTTTCTGTGCTGGGTGAGTGGCAAGAATACTTTTTCTAAAAAGCTGTGGAGATGCTTTCATCAGACATGATTCTTCAGCCAGAAGAAAAACAGCAACACTTACACACACAAATACAACTTCTGTTTACACTACCTAAAGAAATAGTTTGATATTTTGGGAAATCTGCTTATTTGCTTTCTTACCGGGAGAACTTACCTCTCATGTCTGTACGCTAAAGTTTGAGCCTGCAGTACCTTAGCTGAGCATAAAGACTGGGAATGGGGGGGGGGTAAATGGCTAAACGGCTAGCCTGGCTCTGTTCAAAGGTATCGAAATCCACCTACCAGCACCTATAAAGCTCACTAAATTACAGGGCCTAGGGTTACTGATTTATTTGTGAACTTTATTTGAAATATTTTGTTACTCCTTGCTACTGTTATCCTGAGGGGACAAAAGTCAACAAAAAAAAATATATGTATCAAGTTTTACCTGTGAAGTCCTTAAATATTATGATATGTTGTATTTAAAAAAAGAAAGAAAGAAGACTGTCTTTTTACAGATTGTATTTGTGGTCTACCAATCTTAGCTTGTAGCACTGCTGTCTTTATTTTTTCAGATTGAGCAGTGAACATTAGATGGTGATTCTCAGTCCACATCAGGCTATTACAAAAATGAATGTTAACTTTTCTTCACCCGCCTGTCTACAGGAATGCCTTTTAACCAACTGGGCACACTGGCAGGGAGCAAGTTCTACAATGTTGAAGCTACCTACTACTACCTTCGCTGGTGAGGAATGGTTTTGTACAGTTATGGTAACAATTGAACCACAATCCAATAAGTTAAGAGTCTTAACAGATATTTCATCTGTGCATCATAGCATCCAATCAGATGCCCCCTTTGAGGGCGCCTATGGCAACCTGAAACGCCTGTTTGACAAAGCTGCCAAGATGTACCACCAAGTGAAGAAGCAAGAAATGAAGAAGCTGTCTCCATCTCGACAAAGGTGAGGAGGGGGAACTCCTGGGAGAAATATGAGAAAACAATTGTTGATTAGCCCCATATAGTGTATGATGTCTGTGGAGTATTATTAGAGGGTTTTTTTGTACTCCGTAAATTAAAACTTCCAGTTCCAGACCAGTACAACCCAACTCTTTCTGATGTTAATTTAACTGGATTTCCAGACTAATCTGCAAAAATATCCACCAAGTCCTCTGAGCCCTCCCTAGATCATGGGCCCTCTCTGGACAGCAGTGGTAGTGCTAATGGTTGTCACTGCCTTGTAAAAATGAGTCTGCTATAAACAGAATATTTTGTCGTCTTTGTGCTGACATCCCCGAGTAATTTAAATCTATAACTAATCTAATCTTTAATCACATAATTACCGACTTGCTCACCACGCCATCTGAATCACAAAGGCACTCTAAACAGTGGTGGGATAAAGCAGCATCTCTCTGCAGATGGGATTGGATAATTGATGATCCCTGTAGGGAAATTAGATTGTTGAAGCGACAAAAGTAACAGGAATCAGTAGGAAAAAAAGACAAATATTCACAAAAACACAAATGAAAATAAAATAAAAACTTCAAGAGGTCATGCCTGGTGTGTATAGGTCATGTCATGTTGCTTTTCCATTATGGTATCTGAAAGAAGACTTGAAGAGGTTTGCCTGTTCAGATGCATTGTGAGTAATGTGTGATGTTTGTACAATTGATTTACCATCGGGAGTAGATTACAGTTGTGCATAGAGCAATTAAGATTAACAAATTATTTTGCCCCTTGTACAGAAAACAATGCTGTTTTATTTCATATACATGAATAACGCTTAACTCAGTGTAGAAGCGTTTTGCACCATATATTATGTGTGTAACTATGTTTACCTGAAGAAATAGTGACATATTGAAAATGCTTTGCTCCATCATAAATGTGTCACATCTATTATTTTTGGAAATGCTTAGTTGCTTTCTTGACAAGAGTTGGATGGGGATATCGATACCACACACTTCAAGAGTTGCTTGTAGGCTGAATTTTTTTTTTTTTTGTGTTTTTATTTTTTAAAGCTATCTCTCACCATTTCTAATCTTTATACTAAGCTAACCAGCTGCTGGCTCAAACTTCATATTTACTGTAATTGACAGCAATAAGGCAAATAAACGTATTTCCCAAAATGTCCAACTATACTTTTAAATATTATCTTTTAGATAATAGTAAAAGTGTGTACACTACCAACCCTTTAAAGCAGGACTTTCAATGCACCACTGTTTCTCTAAAACATTAAAGTTAAATGGATTGCTCTGCTTTGGTCAAGACATGCTAAATCTGATCCAGAGAAAATCTGTAATCTCTGATTTCTATCATTTTTGCTATGACTTTTTTTCTGCAGATCAAAGGACATTAAGCGCCTTCTGGTGAGCTTCATGTACCTTCAGAGCCTGCTGCAGCCCAAGAACAGGTGAGTGTTTGTACTGTCACTCATTTCCTGTCTCCTGTTCCTCCACTGTTTTCGAACCAGTCCACGGTGAAAATAAACCTTTGGCTTTACTGTATTTTTAAACCATAACCATTCTATTGGTATGTTAAGATGAGGGGGACACAGGCTGTTACATATGTTTATTATTGTCCAATGAACCTAACCTACACCAGTGACTTCATAGTCAAATATTTGTTTAGTGAAGTCTGAACAGAGGTTAACAGTATCCATCTACAGTATCACCACCATGTTGATTCCAGGCAAAGAGTTCACTGCCTGTAAAAATGTTCAAACTACCAACATATTGTACTTGTAGTTCATGGATTAAACATGAAGGACAGCAGATATGAGCACATCATGAAACCTGATCACCCTACTGAACCACTAGTGTTATCTGTACCTCTATTCATTGTTGGGTTTTGTTTACCTTGCATTTTCAGTGCTTCCTTCATTTTCATTTTGTTGCTCTGGGTTTTTGTAGTCTAATGGAGACGGAGCTGACGTCACTCTGCCAGTCGGTGCTGGAGGACTTCAACCTGGTGCTGTTTTACCTGCCGCCACAGCCACATGGTGGCGCTCACCACTCCCCAAGTGAGGAAGAGGAGGACCAGCAGCACGCTGACAGCTCCTGCCCCGTGCTGCCTGACACCCTCGTCTTCAAGATGGTGGTCACTTGTTTGATGGTGGTGCACAGCCTGAAGAGGGGAGGTTAGTGTCAGTGTGAAGTTATAGCTGTTTATTTAGGTTCTAAAATCCAAAGTAGTAAATGTTTTTTTCTATAAGGCCCTTTTTTTTTTTAAAAGCTACAATTTCATAGCTGTTCAATAATCATCTTCAGTGGGCCTGTACATCTACATCAGATGAGGATTGGAATAGTTAGTAGAAGAGGAAGACTACATCTGCCAGACTTAATTTTATGTTTGTAGAGCTGTGCAGTTAACCCAACGGCCACACAACTCTGTCCAAAACACCCACTAGTTTTTTTACCATCATGAGAGGATCTGTGATGGATTGACTCCCAAACTGAAATTTGGACACTAACCTGAATTTTAAATAAATCCAAAAACTGCATCTTTAGGTTTTTGATAACTTACAGAAATGTTATTATAGGCTCATACAGGATACAGGATTACAATGATATTTGAGATCCGATAATGACATATCGGCCGATATATATTGTTAAAATTCTAACAACTGAATTTAACAAGAAATGTACAGGGCAGATAAATAAGAATAAACTCTCTTGTCATCTATTGGCTGATCTCCATACCGATACCATACTGTATATGTGCAAGAGCTAATATCAGCCGATTTATCAGTGGGGCTCTGACTTTTATCTGTACATGGATTACGCTGCTGTGAAATGCTGTCTTGTGGCGGTGATTATAACCAGGCACTTTTTTTCTTCTTGTACTAACAATGTTGTATTGTGTCTTTAGGATCAAAGCAGTACAGTGCATCGATAGCTTTTACTCTGGCGCTCTTCTCCCATCTGGTGAACCACGTCAACATCCGGCTGCAGGCTGAACTGGAGGAAGCGGAGAGCCAGGTGCCTCCACTTCACACTGACGCCACAGGTGAGGAGGAAAATGACCCAGCCGGTGTCAACCATAGGTCAATGCATCAATCTCAGTGTATCCTTTATAAGCAACATCTTTTAGTATTAAAGTGCTGCTCTTTGTGGTTCATAATGTAATCTTATGAGACAACTACAGAAGTATGTGAAGGTTTTAAGAGTCAAGTGCAATTTAAAGTTGAATATATTTATTCACACTTTCAGGATCAACCCAGTGGAGGGCATTAGTTTTGTAAGGTAAAATATGTCATTAGAACAACCTGAATGAGAACAAAAAATGAAGTGTTTTTTTCTTCTTTCATCCAGATGACCTGGAGATGAGGGATTTGTCAGCTCCACCGACAGATCGCCCGGATGAGAAGCCTCTGCAGAATGGCTCCCTGGAGCAAGAAGATGATGAGGAGGAGAAGGATGAAGATGGCTGTGAAAAGGTTGGTGCCAAAAAGCATAGCAGTGTGGAAGAACAGCGCAAATTGGAGGAAGAGAAACAGAGACAGAAGAAGAAGTACACCCGCCTCTCTAGACTCCGCCGACGCCGCTGTGCCCGCAAGGACACCCGAGGAGAGGATGAAAGCGACCTGAGCGAAGGCTTTGAGAGTGAAGAGGACGAAGACGATGATGACGAGAGGAGGGCTCACGCTGATTCAACAAGTGGCACCGCGACAGGGACCCCGCCCAATCCTCCACCCATCAGGAAGGAGACTAAGAGAGACCACCTGGGTGAGGAGGGCAGCTGGGAGACTGGCTCAGAGGAGGAGGAGGAGGAAGGAGGAACGGCGTTTGATGTAGAGACCGACTCGGACATGAACAGCCAGGAGTCCCGCTCAGACTTGGAAGACATAGAGGACACAGAAAACTCAGACAACTTGGAGGGTCAGGCGCGGGAGCACCAGGATGAAGAGGAAGAGGAAGACCAGCCCAAGGAAGAAGGAGGTGACAGGGACGGTGACACACCTCCGACCACTAACGGACCTCTCATGCCCAGCGACTCCAGCATCAGCAGTAACCTCCAGGCCATGTCCTCACAGCTCTTCCAGGCAAAGCGTTGCTTCCGCCTGGCGCCAACCTTCAGCAACATGTTGTTGAGGCCTCAAACCTCATCTTCCTCGGGGATTCCCACCCCTACTGATGCCTCTGCTCCCCCCTCTCAAGAGACACCCCCTCCTCCTGGGGATTCACCCTGCGATATCAACCCTGGTACTGCCAACGGAACCAATGAAAATGGTAATGTGGTTTTTGCCTCAATGTCACATATAATCCTTTTATTTACGGTTACTTATTCGAGACATTCTCTAGTTCATCTGTTCCTTTTTTAATGGATTCATGGAGAACTCAAAATGTGACCTTTTTGCTTTGCTTCTGCCTCCTCTAGACTTGGACTCTGATTCAGAAGGCAGCCAACACAGTACACAGTCAGTACATAGTGAGAAAACCCTCTTGGAGAAGCTGGAGATCCTAACCAATCAGGGGTTGATCCAGGTGGTAAAGGTCTTTGTTGATTGGCTAAGGACAAACACCGACATCATCCTAATGTGTGCACAGGTGAGGGGCCCGAATGTCCTGCTTTGTCCATGAAACTTTAACATTTTAGGACTGTATTTAACAAACTGGTTTTCTTTGCAGAGTTCTCAAAGCCTGTGGAACCGACTGTCTGTGCTGCTCAACCTGCTACCAGATGGCAGCAAGATGCTCGAGGCTGGTGAGTTACTGACAGACTGAAATGCATAAAGATTAACTCCTGTATAGCTCAGTGGGCACAGGATGGCACGACAGTGTCTATGTTTTAACTCCCACTGGGTCCCTCTAATACTAAAATGGGCTTTGAGACACTAAGTGAAGACATTACCTAAATCACTGTTGAGGGTAGTTAGATGAGAGGACTGATACCACTCTTGTCTGTACTTATGAGACTAAATATAAACCTCGAGCTAGCAGGCAAAACAGCTTCCCTGGCTCTGTCCAAAGGTAAAAAATCCACATGCCAACACCTTTAAATCTTACTTATTAACATGTTTTATTTTAGTTTGTTTAACCCATACAAATTAAATGTAAAACTGACAATTTGTGGTTGTTTCTTGGCCAAGCCAATGACTTCCTGGCAATCTCACAGTGAGGACAAGACTCCACTGGCCCAACCAAAAAATAGCTTTGGTATCTAACAACCCAAAAAAGTTTTCTACAGATTAAGCTAGCATGATATAAATGTTAATTAGTGAGCTTTAGAGATGCTGGTTGGTAGATTTCTTTTAAAACAGCTGGACACTGAAATAATTTATAAATGATAAAAAGCATGCCAAAAGTATTAAATTGGGAATCTTGAAAGAAATGTGTTCCTGTTACTGTGTGCACTCACTTACAAACAGTGCTAATACTGCCAGCTCTCACAGCTGGAATATTTGTCTCCCTGTGTGATTTTTTTTTTTTTTTTTTTTACACACTAATGACTGTGCTCTTCTACTGCTTGTTTATTTGTGTTGTACTGCAGAGCTTGGTCTGAACGCAGAGGTGACAGAGCTGTTAAATGAGTGTGAGCATCCCGGTTTGGTCCAGAGTCTGCTGCTGCCGGAGGATTTGGCTCTGCGGCACCTGCCTGCTCTCAACGTAGCTCACCGCCGCCTTGATTTTACTCGTCGCAACCCCTCTCTGAGCTCCCTACAGGAGGTACACACGCTGCAAGCACACATACATACACACACAGGATTCAGCTTGTACAGATGTCTTGGCTAAAACAGCTCCACCACTCAAAATGCCAGTTGTGTTGCCTTTTTTTATGAGCCAGTAAGTTTGTTTTACCAAAACAGTATGATTATCTTAGACAAAATAATTTTAGTGTACAATATCTCAATAATTACTGAAAAGAATCCAAAACTTATTTTAGTTTAAAAACACACTTACCACCCATTTAATGCTGCTTATGTTCATTTTATGTGATGGTGAACTAAATATTTTTAGGTTTTGGACGGTTGGTCTGAAAAAACAAGCAATTTGATGACACCACATTTTGACTTTTGGCCATTTTTCTCTATTTTGTTGACCAAACAATTAATTAATCTGTAGCTAAATTGAAAATGAAAGTTAATCCTTTGGTAAAGCCCCGAGTCTTGCTGACTAATCACAACCATCTGCAGTGTTAAAATGTGTACTAACCGTTGTCAGTAATGACGGTAATGAAAACCAAAAGTATCTTTGAACCTGCATTAATGTATTTATTTTATAGCCACAAGCATTAAACACTACATTGCTAAATTATCATCTTCATAACGTTGTTGGCAAACAGATGCTTGATTACACATCATGTTTCTGGCCATAACGAATATAACTCCAACATCTACTCTCCTTTTAGCTCTGTTTTGCACTCCACTAACTTTTGATGGATATTTTTGGTTCTTTAGTAGCTTAATGGTCCATGTTCATCAGGTAGTAATTTTGTTTGTTGGCTGTTTGGGGTTGGGCAGGTAGTTTACAGTTGGATTGGATATTATTTTTGCTGAAAATAGCTGCCTGCTGCAGCCAAAAACAACAATAATGAGAGTAGTAGGACTGAACACTTTGTGTAGAGCTGAGGAGAACTGTGCGTCAGGGGATAGCTTTAGCTACAGATAGTGATCTCTGTGGGGTTATCACACCTTTTACATGGCATGACATGTCATTTGACCTATTGGTAACATACCAATATTGATTAGAGCAGCTTTAAACTAATAGTGTGTATGTTGTATATTTATGATATATAGGTATCTAGGTCTTTTATGATCTCATTTTTATCAGGACATGTTAAGAGACTGAAACATGTTAAAACACAAATTATCTTGGCTCCACACTCAGAAAATGGGATAGTTGGGTTAAAAGACCGGTTTTCAAATCAATCATGCGTAGTATAAAAGTTTTAAACCATGTTCTCTCTCTTTCCTCCAGTGTGTGGTGCGAGTGTGTTGCATTCGCAGTTTTGGCCACTTCCTAACAAATCTCCAGGGCAACGTGCTGCACTTCAACCCGGAGGCGGGAATCTTCACCAGCATCAGCCAATCCGAACAGGATAATCTGGTGCAGCAGGCCAAGGCACAGTTCCGAATGGTGAGTGACATCCGCACAATGACCAGAAGAACCACAGGGGGCTGGTATACAGTCAAGTGTCTTTATTCTGTGTGCCATTTAGACAGTGTTTTGTAACGGATGACCTAAATAAATGTGAAGAATGTTTAATTAATGACTTTGAACCAAAATGATTTGAGCAAAGCAGCTGTGCCTTTTGATGTTGACTTTCCTGTCTCTATCTTTATTTGTCCAGGCTGAAGAGGAGGCTCGTCGAAATCGCTTAATGAGGGATATGGCCCAGCTTCGACTACAGGTTTTTAATATTATCACTCTGTCCACTGACTGTTTACCCGATCTGTGTTTCCTTAGCTGTGGTACAGCATAGACAGCTGTGTGCGTATCCAGCCATCACTAGCAAAAGCTCCTAGTCTTTGACAGATAGAAAATGTTGAAAAAAACCTTTCTTTTTCATATGGAAGGAAATTTACAAACAAATTGTAGAAAGATAATAAAATTGCCTTTTTTATTGAGTTTAAGATCCAAATTCATTTGGATATTTGCTGTTGTGAAGTATAATGTTTGGTAGGCATATGATTTAGTTGACGTTAATGTGAACCGGCTGACATTAAATCTCACTGAACACTCACTAAAATCATCTGATGGAGGTAATGCAAATGTATAGGAGTCCTGAGATAATCATATTTCTGTCATCATAAAACCCACATATACATCTTACATTAATCACACATTAACAGCTGTTGGGGCTCTTTTTTTTTTTTTTTTTTTTGGTCTGTTTTTTTCTTTGCAGTTGGAGGTGTCACAGCTAGAGGGCAGCCTTCAGCAGCCTAAGGCTCAGTCTTCCATGTCTCCGTACCTGGTGCCAGATACAGCTGCTCTCTGCCAGCATCTGAACCTCATCCGGCAGCTGGCCAGCAGCGGCTGCTTCATCATCATCATCCCACGGACAGGTCAGTGCACTGCCTCACCCTCGGTTTGTCCTGAGCAGCATGTTGTGTTGTGTTCAGGCCCCTGTGTGTAGCATTTGCCCCACCGATATGGCCTCAAACAAGGAAGATGGTCATTCAAAGATTTTAATGAACTGGTTATTTTTAGTTGGTTAATACATCTGTCTGCTTTCAGCCACTTATGCAGGTCCAAGTCGCATTAATAAAATCAATTATGTCATTCATTAGGAATTATTGTTACATACTGCAGCTAAGTACAAAAAAAATTAAGTAACTCTAAGCCTTTTCATCATACTTCAGACTTTGGCTGGTATAATTGTTAAACAGGTAATTGCATAACACCATTATTAAAAAGGTCTTAAAGGTCCCTGGTATACTCAAACACATGGCTAGACACAAGTTTGTTGCAAAATAAGGGTAATTACTGCAGCCATTTAGCCTTAGGTTTTATTAATCTGAAGTTTGCATGTCCAAAAGTCTTTTTAGTGTAATGGCTTCAAAACCCAATATTCAACCTAATTTAGCTTTTCTTATCTCATCACAGATAGATGCTTCTTTCTTATGTTTGGTGCCGAGTATTATGTCACACTTAACTGCACGTTAAAATATTAGTATTTTGTTGTTTGTAATGCACAAAACTACAAAAAGTCTAGAAGTCATGTTGGTGCTGAGACTATTAATTTGTTAACAATAAAGCAGTAAACGGACGTTAAAACCATCTTCAGTAGTTTTGATAATAAATTAGTTGATTAAATGATTTATCAAGCAAAGTAAAATA